CATACGCAGGACTGAAACACCTTTGGCGTAGACGCGACGTTTCACTGAAGTTGGAAGGTCGTGTATATTGTGCTAGCATTCGTTCAGTCTTGCTTTATGGTTGTGGGATCTTGAATTTGCGAGTAAAAGATATCCGTTGACGAGAGGTTTTCGAGTATCGGTGTTTACACAGTTTAGCCCATGTTGGATGGAGCGAACGCGTTAGTAACGTGGAGGTTATCCGTCGTGTGTTTGGGAGTTTATCAGGTATAAACATGCTAGCGCACAGAATTCAGATTAATAGACTTCGCCGGCTAGGGCACGCACTGCGTATGCCCAGTCATCGTCGGCCACGAGGCGCTTTATTCACTGTAGCTAATCCGGGCTGGAGGAAACCGCGTGGAGGTCAACAGATGACGTGAAGACGAGGCATGAAGAAATACGCAGAGCCATTAGGTAGAGTACGTGTCACTCACCTTCCAGGTTGGGGTCCGAGAGACTCAGCAACTGGTTGGTTGAAGACATTTAAGAATATGGCAGCGAACCAACAGCAGTGGCGTTCTTGTTGTCGTATCTTATCAGGTCAGAATGCTTGAAATGGTATATATTAAGAGTTCGATTACGTACTCTGTGTTGACCATAGTGGCTCATCTCCCTCCTTCAAAATAGATCCAACCCCTGTCCACCTTAAAGTTTACCACTAACCTTGTATGCATTGCGAGTTTGGCAGCGGTCATTGAAGTTTGCTTCACTGTATTTCACTGTAAGATGATGATGTGTGCGGACATTGAACGCGGCAAAGTGAAAAGAAAATTTTGGTTTTAAAAATCCTGTAACTTCTGGTTGTTTGGCCTTGATGGTAAAACGCTGAGTGATAATCGATTGGTAGCGTAAACAGGAGGCTTCTGGGATTATTCGGGATTGAGAGGAAGAACTAGATAGATCGGAAAGAGGTTTTTACAAATGGGTGCCTAAGGCTTTAGGGTACTGCCTACTTCGCGGTTGCCAACACCCACACAAGGGTTTTTCTTTGGGAACCCTAACCGGAGCCTTCGATTCAAGTCTGATCCATAAGGCAGTGGGGCGTAAATCCAACGTAGGAGCGTGAACGATGCACCCGTGTGGGAGCTTCTAGAGACCTATCACGCAAGGCTTTGAATTTTGATTAATTGAGTTGTTCGGTGGTGCGTTGATTATCGACCCGCTTTTCAGGATCGGCCCCTTAGCCTTATGCACCCAATGAGACAAGCGGAACGTGGACGGGACAGTACCTTATTAGCTGGGGGCTGCCCAGCTTGTGCGGGCTGTAGCTGTCCAATGAAGTGCGAAGAATTCTCCCACCGTCGAGAGGAAGCCCCAGTTAACCCGCTCCTAAGTCCATCTAGCGGGTTTTTTTCGACAGGTAAACTGCTCCTCACCGTGTTTATTTGCTGGAGTGGCCTCTTCAGGGGTGGATGTGGATGAAGGAGGCCAGGATGTGCCCAAGCAGCTGGCTTTGTGAGACTGAGCTCTGGCCTCTACCCGTTGACCTTCCAGGCATGATTGAATCTACGGCTGTGAAAAGCCATCGTGTGTAGCTCGCAGGGTCATGGGGGCACGCAAGCCATCACACCACGTCAAGATGCACTCTCGTCGTGATGCCAGACTACCATACTCCGAACGAGAGTGCACGCGATAGGCGTGCAATACCTTGAAGGCATCCAGAAAGTCCATAAAAAACCGTCGTATGGCTCCCAATACTCTCCCCTCTAAAGCACAAATTATCGTTGTGACTACTCGTCCTTAGTTTAGAGGTCACATCCTGTTTTGAGAGTACAACCATAATAGGAAACACACTAATTCTAAACAGGCAGCACTCGACCGGACTATCACTGGTTTACCGCAGATCAGGGTGGGGTACTAGCAGGTAAAATATGCTTCCGGCTAACGTTGTTAAATGAATTCATGGGGAGTCGGTCACTGGACAAGTAACCCTGGCAGCACAAGGGGACACTCGCTAAAATGCTATTTATTTTCCTGACACGGTGTTGGTATCGTCAGAATGCATGAAATTGTTCAGAATAACCATTTAAATCTATGTATTTCTTCAAATAACGAAAATTTAGTCCAAAGATTGATGTTTTATTTCGAAACAGAACATCAATTTTTAGACTAAATTTTGGTTATTTGATGAAATATATGCAATTGGTTATTCTGAACAATTTCGTGCGTTCTGACGATACCAACACCGTATTAGGTGAATTCATAGCAGTTTTTAGCGAGTGTCCCCAAGGGGACACCAAGGACGGTTTAGTGTCCCCGTGTGCTGCCTCTCAGTCTTTTTAAACTCTCACATAGTTGTATTTGTGCCGAATGAATGTGTACTTTAGGTTTTCGTCACAGAGGAATTGAATTTGATCAACATTNTTTCTTCTTTGTAGGCTCCTTCACATTCAACAAGGTTTTAACTCGGAAACCACCGCGGGAAGATCTCTGGTTTCCCTATATTTCTGCCGACACCCAACGAAACTTGATTGCATCTTCCGCTATGTTTTCCCCGTTGCAACGATTTCACACATTTTTTATTAAGTATGGTGCATTCAAACATCTTCCTGCTTTCGGCTGTAATTTCTGTCACATGAGCTCAACTTTTGTTATCAACCGATTTCCATATGCGTGTTACTCAACCCGCTCTCGCAAACATCAAAAGAAGGCACATGATTATAATTCAGACGATGATGATGATGAATCTGACGACGAGATGTTCGAGGCTGAAGTCGAACATGATCCGTATCTCGCCGAAGATGAGAAGTTTAACCCGGGGTTTCGCCATTTAACCTCCTTCGTGAAATCGCCCAGATTCGACAAAGTTATTCGTGTGGGCCTCAACTTGACTAGAGCTGCAGCAGAGGAGGCTTTCCTGTCCAGTCGGTTCCGATTGAACGGTATTAAATTGCTTAAAAAGAGTGTTCTCGTTTGTCCGGGTGATAAGTTGGATCTGGTGATATCCGAAGATGACGGTACTTTGGGGAAACGTGTACGCGTCATCACTGTGGAAGAACGAAAGCGTGATTCTTATCGTGTTTCATTGCGTTGCTGGAGGTCAAAAGTCAAGCTGTAATATCACTGATTTGTGTATTTCTGAGTTTTCTAGCAACGAATAATAAAATTTTCCATTACAACCGTTTTTGTCTGGAACGCTGTTTGGTTGTTTTCCCAATTTCGTACGAAATTTCGTCTGTCCCTTCGCAGTTCACTCGATTGAAGCTATTTCTGATCGCTCGGCCGCCATTGGCATTATTGGCCCTAGTGCTACTCCTATGTTCACTGGGCCTCCTTATCCTCGATGGTCGCATTCACTTGCACGATGTGAAAGACCCAGATGTGGAGAAAGTGAGTTTACGTGCATTTTTCTTTCGATCATCGACCAATCAGCACTGGAACAAGTTGCTTTTAGAGTTGTCTAATCTGGAATTTTGCTTCACTAACTCAAGTTTCGCGAAAACCCTGTCCGATTCATATGCCGCTGCAGATGTTTTTCCACAGAACTTAGCTCCGTCATTTCACTCAGATGGAAATGAGGACAATAGTGTCATTTCACAGTCTGTGGAACAACGGGTTCTACTCTATCCGACTGATGTGTTTAAGCCCGGTGTTGGCTATGTACTGACTGCCAATATGCGAGGTCGACATATAGTGATTAAAGGTTAGCCAAAATTTCTTTATTTTATCTATGCGAATGATGTCTCGTTAAATCAATGCTTGAACTTTTTACCATCAAGTCATTGTATATCTTTGTCACATTTGCCTGAATGGTTTGTACACGAATCTCCGAAATTTCCCGACTGGCAAAGCCAATAATTAGCGATAGATTTGTCTACGTGATTAATTCGTCTTGTGAGGCGTAAGCTAAAAAGCTGAGAAGTACTGGGCAGCTGTTTCGACCTGGTTGGCTGAGCGAGGGCCGGTGTTTGCATAGATGTACTGTACTATATCGTGTATATTCAAAATGAGAAACGGTCTGATCATCTGCCCGATGTCCGAGTGAGTAGTACGCTTGCGTTCTACCTGTGAGGTCCCGGGTTCGATCCCCTGTTGGGTCGATTGATTCGCACCTCTGATGAAACCCAACCCGGTCGAAACAGCTGTCCAGTGCTTCCCAGCTTTTCAGCTCAAGCCTCATTTACACGACGAATTCATCATGTATATACTTTTTTCGCACACCTCTGATGCCAGACTGTGTGCCAAACAATTCATGATAAAATAATCTTTTTAAAAAAGGAGGAAGTTCCATGATTTGCATGTGGGTGGAATACTGCCAAGTTGCCCAGGCCAAGGCAGGTGAATTTTCTTGAGGAATTCACAACCGGAGCCTTCGGCTAGCCAAAGCCTGACCCGCAGGCAGCGGGACGGTGTGTGAGAACCGCAATCCATTGGGGGCTGGTGTCCAGTTCATCGGATCATTCGCCTTTTGGACGGGGTCAAACCTCCAAGGTGCCGAATACACCTCGGTGCCCAGGTGAGCCGGTGACCATTGCCGCAACCGGAAAGGTGTGTGTGTGTGTGTGTGGTTCGTACACCTCCACTTGTTTGGTTTGGAATCAGGGTTTTTGGCCAACTCCCCTGGTGCGTCAACTGTAAACAACATGCGGTACAGTAAACTACAGCTGGATATGCGCAATACATGTCGTAGCCAGCAAAGTATACTAATCTGAATCCGATGGGATAATGAATTTTACGCTGAATTAGTCCCAGATACCTCATTTTTGCTAACCCACTCTCTTCATCCCATATGCACCAAGTTGCTTAGAACATGATGAAGACTGCAAATCGGTGAATGTCTTCGACACACTAGGACTTTCCCAATCGTTAAGCAACTTGACCGCACAGTGGCACAGGATACAAGACCTTTGAACTTCA